ATTTAAGACAGAAATATAGGTTCTAGATTAGTAAGGGGAATCAAGTATTATGGGGAGAAGACAAGAGAACAGGGTTGAGAAACATATCAGCCATGATTGACTGACAGAACAGACTCAATGGGCTGAATGGCCTAATTCTGCTCCTATATCTTCTGGTCTTATCTCCAAATATCTGCAGTTCTTTATTTTAGCACTTCCACACTGCGGAAACATAGGATAGTATCTGAGAGTAAAGCAGTAGAAGTTGGTAATGAGTTCCTGTGGAATAAGGAGCGAAGAGACTCTATGACCAAAGGATGACCCTGTTTATCTAAAATCTGAAACAAAGCAACAATCAGGAATATCTCCAAAGCAATAAACTGGTTCTTCATTGTTAACAAAGCTTAGCTGGCCGCTAGTGCTGATTTGGGTTCAATAACATCAATTGTTGCTGCAAGCTATTGAGTTTATTTTAGTTGGGTATTGCTATTATTTTGTTTAGGTTTGGCATTAAGGATTATGGAAGCAAAGTGGGTAGATGGAGTTAAGATACAGTTCAGCCACTATCTCATTGAAAGGTAGAACAGGTGAATGACTTTCTCTTCTTCCTTTGTTTCCAGTTGCCCTGCTCTCTATACTTGATTTGATTTATTATTGTTACATGAAAAGTATTGTTTTGCATGCTAACCAGACAAATCACACCCTACATAAGCACATCAGAGTAATAGAACAGAATGCAGAATATAGTGTTACAGCTACAGGGAAAGATCAACTCTAATATATGAAAGGTCCACTCAAAAGTCTAATAACAGCAGGGAAGAAGCTGTTCTTAAATCTGTTGGTACATGTTTTCAAACTTTTGTATCTTCTGCCCAATGGAAGAGGGTGGAAAAGAATATAATCAGGGTAGGAGGGGTCTTTGATTATTTTGGCTGCTTTCCTGAGGCAATGGGAAGTGTAGATGGAGTCAATGGAAGGAAGGCTGATTTTTGTGATGGACTGGGTTGTATTCACAACTCTTTGTAATTTCTTCTGGTCTTGGGCAGAGCAGTTGCCACACCAAGCCGCGATGCACCCACATAGGATGCTTTCTATGGTGCATACATCACCTGATGAAGGGGCTACGCTTTGAAAGCTTGTGATTTCAAATAAACCTGTTGGACTATAATTTGGTGATGTGTGACTTTTGACCTTGTCCATCCCAGTCCAACACCCGCACCTCCACATCATCCATGTTAATTGCATATGCACAGTTGTTTCCATTATTGCTGTCTGTTACCGTGATAACTAGATCCAGCAGTGTTATCTAGGTAGTATCTCTATTTGTAAAACACATGCCTTTCTTTAAATCACTCTAAAAGTGGTCTGACTGACCACGAGGTAATGGTTTGATTTGCTTTCCTAAATGATTAACTGTCTTATGTGTAATCAAATTTGCTCAGTATCATCAGCTGAACTTTTATTTGTATATCATTCCACTAGTTCACTTAAGGGGAATTCTTATGCGGTGCAGCTTATCTGACTGAGCAAAAAGACCCAATAGCAAGAGGCATACCCACAGAAATGCTTACCCTCCCACGATAGTGTGTCAGCATATAAGAACATAGCTACAGCTCTCCTCTCTATGGCACAGACTAAGGTGGCAGTGGCTTGCAAACAGAGCTGTGCCATCTCCAGCACCTCAGAGATGTCACAAAAGGGAAGTCAAAAGGTCTTCCTCATTCTTCCCCTTCCCCCGCCCAACTAATGCCATCCATCCACCTGCTATGACCCCTTATATCCCCACGCCAACCAATGCCCCTCACCCACCCCATCCACATGCCCTCATGCCAAAAAAGGCCCCCTCTCCTTAACTTTATAGTTCTCAAGCCAAGCTAAGGCACTTCAATGCTAATTTACCCACTGCAGAGTGTATAAACCAATGAATCATCTTATCAGAATATGGTATGAAACTTTTTTTAACAAGAAATAATTAATTGCTATCTTCCTACTTCCTCAAAAAAACCCATCTTTTTACTACACGCTAATAAAAGTGTTAATTGTCTCGACCTGATGAAGTATCAATAGCACAAACTGCATGCATTAATTGAGCTCAGAGAATCAGAGTTGTCCATTATTGTTTTTGCTGGGCTCAGCTGTTTCAATAGTCTTTTGGATGCCTGGACTCTCAGCCAAGAATATGTAGCAAGTTTTGAATGCCTCAATTAAACCTGCCTCCACCACACATTCAGGCAGTGCATCCCAGATCCTAAGCACTTACAGCATGAAAATATTTGTACCAAGGTCTCAATTGCTTAAAGTCATAAAGTCATAGAGCTGTACAGCACGGAAACAAACCCTACCAGGCATCCTAAATTAATCTAGTCCCATTTGCCAGCACTTGGCCTTTATCCCTCCAAACCCTTACTATTCATATATCCCTCCAGATGCCTTTTAAATGTTGTAATTGTACCAGTCTCCACCACTTCCTCTGGCAGCTCATTCCATAAACGGACCACCCTCTGCATGAAAACACTGCCCCTTAGGTCCCTTTCAAATCTTTCCCCTCTCACCTTAAAACTATGTCCTCTAGTTCTGGACTCTCCTACCCTGGGAAAAAGACCTTGTCTATTCATCATATTAAAGCCCCTCATAATTTTATAAACTTCCAGAAGGTCACCCCTCAACCTCTGATGCTCCAGGGAAAATAGCCCCAGCCTATTCAGCTTCTCCCTGCAGCTCAAACCCTCCAACCCTGGCAACATTCTTGTAAATCTTTTCTGAACCTTTTCAAGTTTGGCAACATCTTTCCTATAGCAGGGAAACCAGAACTGAACACAGTATTCCAAAAGTGGCCTAACCAATGTCCTGTATAGCCGCAACGTGACCTCCCAACTCCTATACTCAGTGAACTGACCAATGAAGGCAAGTGTGTCAAAAGCATTCTTCTCCTCTCTCTCTACCTGTGAGTCCACTTTCAAGGAACTATACACCCGATCTAGTTTGAGGTAAGATCCAGTTACGGTATTTGAGTGATTAGATGGGCTAGATGATGAGGAACTCTTTGTTGGGAATCCAGGATGGTGAGTGGAATGTTCTGGGCCGACAGGAGACAAGGAAGGAGATGGGAGGCCTGAAAAATAAGTTTAATTTTTTTGGGGGGCCTTTACCCAATGCTTTCCCTGCTTCACTCAAGTACATTTGGGTATCAAGGTTAATGGGCAACTTTTGCATCCTGTCCCCATTTAAGATCCTTAAATGGTCAATTAACAAGCTCTTGACCACTTCAGAGCCTATTCCTGCCTGGGCTACAGTTTCTACAGCTACAGATGGGGCAACTGACAATCAACCACCCAACAGGAAAATAGGTCCTGTTGTACTCTGCAGCCTTCTGTACTCAATATCAAGTTCGATACTTTTAGCGTCTGAGCACTTTCTCCCTTTGTAGCTCGAGTTGTGGATGAGGTTGTAGGCATGCTCACCAAGCCGTTGGGTTAGGTTGCAGACATTTCGTCACCCTGCTAAGGTAACATCGTCAGTGCGCTTCCAGTGAAGCACTGGTATTCTGTCCCACTTGTTATTTATGTGCCTCGGTTTGCTGGGGTGGTCGAATTGGCGATGTTACCGAGCAGGGTGACGAAACATTTGCTACCAAACCCACCGGCTCAGCGAGTATGTCTACAACCTCACTTTCTCCCTCGTCCTTACCCCAATACACACACACCAGGCCTTGTCATCACATGGACTGCTATCACAACCATCCCTTTGTCAACCACTAACGATCCCAATTGACAGCTATTGATTCTGCCAAGCAGGCTGACCCTTACCCATTCCTTTGTCTGCTCAACTGTTTTTCTCTCTCTCGGAGCTCTATCTCTACCTATTGTTTACTCCTCCCATCCCATCTTCGGGACATATACCAACCTTTTCCCAGCTATAATCAGTTCTCCAAATGGGTCACTGGACCCAAAATGTTAACACTGCTTTCTCTCCACCGAGACTGTCACACGTGCTGAGTTTCTTCAGCACTTGGTGTTTTGGTTTCTGATTTCTAGCATCCACAGTTATTTGTTTTTGCTGCATTTACCTTGCTCCTCTGATCAGCTAAGAGGATTCTATATTTCATGATTGGCCAATTTGTTGAGTAAGGCCCTGTAATTGGTTAATATACAGATTTCTAAACAGATGCTTGCCTTTATGATCGTGGATAGATCTATTAACGGCTACTGGTTGGTCAAATTGTGTCGTTTGTGCAGTAGTTCACCAACTCTATGATGGGTCAATACTTGTCCATTGAGTAGAAAGGAATGATCAGCCTATGCACCCTTTTATTCTCGGATGGGTAGTGAGGCGATCGATGTTCTGATTGGTCATAAACCAGATTCCAACTATTTATTGGCTAGTGTTTCTTCTTCTTCTTCGATTGGTAGGGACACCCCTGCTTCATGATTGGTCGAGAGCAAAAATAGCATGTTCTGATTGGCCGAACTGCCTCCAAGTTCATTGACAGGTATAGAAGTGACCTACTTTCTGATTGGTCAACGTGAGGGATTCCGCCTGCTGATTGGTCAATAAACCCGGTTTTTGCCGCTTGTGTGGGGGGGCGGAATATCCTGGTTTGTGATTGGTCAGCCTGTGAGGGAAGGGCCGTGTGATTGGTTCAGGCGGCACTCCCGGTTCTGATTGGCTCATTCCAGCCGCACCCACGTTCCGCCCCCCCCTCCCCCCGCCCCACCGAGTTAGTGAGTGGCCGGAGGCGCGAGGTTTGATCCGGCCGAATGTCCGCCTCCTGCCCCGCGGCCCCGGCCTCCCCGCCCTGGAAGCTGTTGTCCGGGCAGTTGCAGCAGGCGGGCTGCCGGAGCAGGGAGCAGGCCCCGGCCCGGTGGTTGTTGAGGCGGGAGGCGAGCGGCCGGCCCCCGCTGGAGCTGGGCCTGGTCTGGATGCAGGGCACGGTGCAGGAGGTCCGGCCCGAGGACGGCGTCAGCCTCCGGCTGCTCGACCCGAGCGGCAGCTTCACCGTCACCGGAGCGAGCCGTGTCCCCAAGGGGAAGCCGTGCATCGCGGCAGGTACCGGGAGGGGCGGGGGGTATCATTCAATACACTTCCAATTCCACCCCCCACCCCCCCATCTGTTCCTCTTCCCCACCCCCCCCATCTGTTCCTCTTCCCCACCCCCCCC